TCAGGGGTGCAGCGGGAAGGGGGCGGCTGGAGGAGGGGGGACACATGTGCCACTCCGTGCTCGTCTCAGCCTGGCACTGCCGTCCCTTGGCCACGGCAGTGTGTCCCGTGCCGAAGCCGGGTGCCCCCCCGGGGCGTCCCAGGGGGCTGTGGGTGGGGAGGGGGTGCAGGGGCGCTCCCGGCCCCCCCCTTTAGCTCCGCCGCTGCTCCTGGTCCTTCTTCTTCTGCTTCTCCCGCTGCTTCTCCGCCTTCTCCTGGGCCTTGCGCTCCTTCTCCACGGCCAGGCTCAGCTCCTTCAGCTTCCTCTTCAGCACGGCGCGGTCCTGAGAGCTGCCCACCCCCAGCGCCTGCCGGCACAGCCGGGCGCTGCCAACGGGCCACCCCTCCCTCCCCATGGCCTTGGGGCACCAGCACCCCCCTGCCCCATGGACCAGCCCCTTGGGGTACCTGGACCCCCCCTGCACTGACTGTCTCTCAGGATCATCCCGCTGAGATACCTACACCCGCCATTCACCAGGCTCTTGGGGTCCCTAGAACTTCCCATCCTCCTCCTTGACTCATCCACTGGGATATCTGGAATCTCCCCCTGATCTCCTGCCCCATGGAGCAGCCAATTAGGACGAGAACTTTAAGGTACCCTGTGCTGAGCCCATTGGGGTACCTAGAACCCACACAGACCTCCCACCCTGTAGAGCTTCCTGTTGAAGTACCTAGAGCCTGTTGTCCAGTGATGAGTCCATTGGGATACCTAGAACCCTCCCAGAGCTGTAATACAGAGAGCACCCTCTTGGGATACCTAGAACGTGCCCAGATCTCCTACCCCATGGAGCATTCCTTTTGGGGTGTCTACAACCTCTTGCCCTACAAGCTGAGCCTGTTGGGGTACCTGGACCCCCCTGCACCCCAGCAGAAGGGTCTCCCCAGCCCCATACCTTGAGCTTGGCACCATCAAGGTGCAGCAGCCGTGGACCATCGACACCGTGGGCTGAGAACTCCCCCACGTACTGCTCCAGGTTGAGGCTCTCCAGCCACTGTCCCACCTGATGGCACGTCCAGCCTGCGGCCGCGCCAAGGGGCTCATCCAGAAACTGGGCACAGGGGGCTGGGTGTTAACGAGGGGTCCCCACAGCACCTGAGGGGAGGGGGGCGGACCTGACCTTGCGTCTTCTGTGGGTCTCACCTCGTCCGAGGACTGTGACAGGGTGTGGTAGGGGTAGGAGTACTTGGTCGCCGTGGGGCCGGGCAGGCGTGGGCTGGCGCTGGGCGGTGGGGAGTCCTCGCTCAGCGTTGAGTCCTGGGGCAGCGAAGGGGTGAGGGCAGGGCTGGCCCTACTGTCCCCAGAGCAGCCTGGATCCTCCCTACAGGGCTACCAGCCCCTGTGGGGCTTTGATCCCCCTCCTGGTTGCCCAAACCTATGGGGCTTTGAACCCCCCTCATAGTTATCCTGATTCTATAGAGCTTTGACCCCTCCCCTATAGCTGTCTTGACCCTATGGGGCTTTGACCCCCCTCCCCTATAGCTGTCTTGACCCTATGGGGCCTTGTTCCCTGTCCCCATAGCTACCCAAACTTAAGGGGCTTTGACCTCTTCTGTAGCTACCTAACTCATAGGACCATCACCCTCCTTCCCTATGGCACCCTGGCCCTATAGGGCTCCCATACCCTCCTCTTATAGCTGCCCACCCCCAGGGCCAGGAGCCCCCCGTTTCCGGGCACTGACCTGGGAGGCGGATTTGGCGGGGCTGAGCCCCTCGTGCCGGGGGGAGCCAGCGGGTGACGTGGAGCTGGGGGAGGCTGAGCCCCTCGCACCATCCGAGAACCAGGAGAAGGGCAGGAAGGGGGACCCCGAGGGGCGACCGGGACCCTCCGCTGCCTCCCTGGGGACAGAGCTGTGTTAGGGCCCCTGGGCTGTCCCCCTATAGCCCCCCCCCACATGCCCAGGTTGGGGGGTGTCCCTCACCTGCTGCCCATGGACAAGCGGTTGCTGCCCTTCTCCTTCCGGCTCTTGCTGGAGGACGCTCGGCGCAGGGTCACCCTGGGTGGGAGAGAGGTGGGTCGGTGGGGAGTCCTGATGGCTGTGCCACCCCCACGGCCCCCAGACTCCCCTCCATCCACCCATCCACCCATCCATCCTCAGACACCTCCATCACCTTTAGAGCCTCTTTCTCCATCCCTCCCTTCATCTGCACATCCCTCCCTCCATCCCTACATCCCTCCCTACAGCCATCCCTCCAGCCATCCCTCCCTCCATCTCTGCATCCATCCCTTTAATCCCTCCCTCTATTCACACATCCCTCCTCCATCTCTCTATCCCTCCCTCCATCCCTCCATCCCTCCACCTCCAGGCATCTCCATCTATTCCCCCATCTT